CCTCCTCCTCCTCCTCCTCCTCCTCCTCCTCCTCCTCCTGAACAAGAGACCTTCCACAAGAAACTCAACCCTGAGACCCCAGGACATCCATTGATTTTTGGTGTGGGCACGTCACGCTCTCCACAGCAGAACCATCGAAGCCCAGGAAGCCCAGCGCACCCTGGAGGCAAGCAGGGTGCTTCTTCGCATCGGTCCCCACTGTACCTCGAGAAATCGAGGGGCCAGGGGTTCTGGGTTCTGGGAACTGCTCGGCCACGTCCGCAGCATAGGGCCCCTGGGGTCCCGTCTGCTCGAATATGGAGACTTCGGCCTCTTCGGAGCGCGGAGGGAGGGAGGCGCTGGCTGGGCGGCGAGGCGGGAGGAGCAGCAGGCGGCATCGGCATCACCCTGCCGAGGTCCGCGCGGATGCCTCGGATCGGCGCTGGGCCGTCCAGCCCTGCGGGGGGCGGAGCCAGAGTCAGGTCGGGCATGTCCCCCTACGGGCAGATTTGGGAGGAAAAGCGACAAGCAGCCAAAGAAGAATCAAAGCTGGCCAAAAAAATGCCACTGGAAAAACCGCCCCTGGACCACTTGTTTTGACTCTTCTTGAACAGACAGGCTATTTTTTGACCGTTCTGAATGCTCCTCCTGTAGAGGGGCACGCCCGACTTGAAGACAGAGGCGTCGCCCCCCACCTCGGGAGCGGCGCCAAGAGGGGGGTGTCCAAGAGGGGGGGGTGCAAATCATGACCGGCGGCATGTGCGCGGCCCAGCAGGGGGGGGGCCAGGGACGCAATGAAACAAGAAGCGGCGCCCTGAAATCTGGTGACATATCGTGGCCCCCTAGTCATCACCCCCCTCTTTGCCGCCCCCGACCCCCCGCGGAGCCGGACGCGCCCCGGGCGGAGCGCGGCGTGCCGCGGGAGGGGGCGCGGGCGGAGCGGCGCGAAGGCGCCCAGTCCTGCGCGCCCCCGGCGGTCCGCTGGAGCTTCCCCCGGCGGGCCCGCACCTCGCAGACGAAGCCGTCGAGGCCCCTCGGCTGCCACCTGCCCCGCGCCCGCCGGCCGTGCGCGGGCGGGCGCGCCGTGGGAGAGCCACAGCAAGAGGTGCCCGCGGCAAGAAGGTGCACAAGAATGCATAATACTGCCAAGAAGGCGGATAATAATAAGACGAAGAATATTAATACTGGTACTACTAACAATGAGAATAATGATGGTAGTAGTAGTAGTAGTAGTAGTAGTAGTAGTAGTAGTAGTAGTAGTAGTAGTAGTAGTAGTAGTAGTAGTAGTAGTAGTAGTAGTAGTTGTAGTAGTAGTAGTCGTAGTAGTAGTAGTAGTAGTAGTAGTAGTAGTAGTAGTTGTAGTAGTTAGTAGTTAGTAGTTAGTAGTTAGTAGTTAGTAGTAGTTAGTAACAGTAGTAGTGTAGTTAGTTGTAGTAGTAGGAGTAGTGTAGTAGTAGTAGTATAGTAGTAGTAGTTGTAGTAGAGTTGTAGTAGATAGTAGTAGTAAACAATGTGTTTAATTGTTAGTTAGAAATATTTAATTTTCTTCATAAACCTTTATGTAACCATAATATATAATATTTAATAATAATAAAATAGTTGATAACAATTAAAGATACTAATATACTAATAGTAGTAATTCGAGATTTCAGACCATATGCTTAATGGAATTGTTGGTATGCAGTGTGATCGGGTGACTGTCTGTTTTCATTTTATAACTGGTACTGATACTAATAATACTACGACTAATAATACTACTAATGATGATGATGATGATGATGATGATGATGATGATGATGATGACGATGATGATGATGATGATGATGATGATGATGATGATGATGATGATGATGATGATGATGATGATGATGCTAATAACAATGATAATAATAATGAGAATAATAATACTAGTAGTAGTAGTAGTAATAATAATAATAATAATAGTAGTAGTACCACTAATAATAACAACAACAACAATAATAATGATACGAATACTAATACTAATAACAGTACTAATACTAATAATAATACGAATAATAATAGCAATAATTAAAAGAAGCAGCATGAGCACAATGAGGCGAACAGTAAGCATGATAAGAGTGGGCATCGGCGTCGGCATACATATGAAACGTCGGACGTCCGCTCGGGCCTCCGAAAGTCTGTGCTCTGCAGGCTTTTCACCTTCGAGACAGGACGTCCTCCTTTTCCTCCTCCTCCTCCTCCGTCTGTTCCCCGTCCTGCCCGTCCCCCCCCCCCTCTCCCGCAGCCTCCTCCTCCTCACCTGCTCTTGCCCCTCCTGTTGCCAATCCTCCCCTTTGTCGTGAGCCGCCCCCGAAGGCGAAAGCCTCCCGCAGCCGCGCCGGCCGCGGGATGGACCCGCCACTGGGCACGGGACGCGGTCCTCAACGAGACATGCAGCCCGTCGCTAACCAGCCTCGACCGTATCCCTACCCCTAAGATAAACAAGGCCAAAGTCGACGACAATCTTGGGGGTGCGCCCTCGGAAACGGAGGGAGTCCCCAAGATCGGCATCGAGACGGGGCGATGCCAATCATAGGGATATAGGGATCTGCTCCAGGCTGTTGCGTCGGGGGCGGTGCGGGCGTCCCGGGCCGGCCCTCTCGCTCCGGGTATAGGGGCCGGAAAGGAGGACCCCTGCTGCCCGCAGGGCCGAGCCTCCGCGGGGCCCTGCATGCTCGGCGGGGCGCCGCGTGCCCGGGCTCAGTGGCACCGTGCGGGGCCTCGGTGGCAGCCCGCGCGCCCAGGCTCGGCAGCCTGGCCGCGAGGCGCAGCGCCTGGCCGCCGGGCGGGCCAGCCAGCTCGCCGCCGCGCGTGCCAGCGAGGAGGGATAGCTTGGCGTCGTGGACCTCC